ACTTGCTGAGACAGAGAACATGTGTGTCTGGTTCACATGGCAGGAATTCAATCAATCTTTGTTGAGTGGGAAAAAAAATTAACACATGTAAAACAGGCAATAGCTCTTTCTGAAATGCATGAATGGTGAAGGCAAAAAAGTCAAATACTTTGACTCATACCAAGTTTATGGTAAAATGGGGCCTAAGATCCAAGTTTCCCACAGCCACTGCTTGACAATTTTCACTACACGATCCAGCAACATCTACGTTAAATCTAAACCTAAGCCAAATCAAGGTAAGCAGAGGTGGAAATAAGACACGGGCCTACCAAACAGGAATTTAACAACAATTCCTCTTCTTTATAGTCCCTGCTACTTTCAGGAGATTCAGCATTTGTGGAAGATCTTGAGGCATGATTATTATTGTCAGTTTGCTAAGAATATCAGGAGATAGAAAAACGTCTAACAGTAAGGAATAAAAAAAGAGGGGCTGTGTCCTTCCCCAACCAAGTAAAAAAATGGTGAAACTGTTTATTAAGGGATTTATTTGTTTAATATAATTAATTCACTGATCTCCTGGTATGCACTCCCTTTCAAGTGTAAAGAGATAAAAGCTATACATTCCTGCCCTTCCAGAAGTTCACAGACTAGGTGGGAGAGAGACATGTAACAACTGTAATAATGCTCCATATGTCAGCTATTACCTCCCCTGAATTTCCCTAGCTGACCTAAGTCTAGAGAGACAAATAGGAGACAGATGAAATGTGAGAAGATCCTTCTAGACTGAGCAGGTGGTGTCAGCAAAGGTCTGGAAGCATGAGAGCATGTTCGGGTAATTACAAAATGTTCATTATACTCAAGATATACTGATCTTTCCAGTGGCTGCAGATGAAGCTGAAGAGGTTGTCAGTGGCCCAGGGGATTACTGCAACCTTCTAGAAACTGCAGAGAGGTGCTAAGCACCCACTAAGAGATGTCCATTAAAGTAAAACATGAAAACCTATTGGTTGTTAATTTTATCCCCAACACTACTCCCCTTCACTGACTACAGTTCATATACTCTTACTTTAACACTTTCATGACTAATTTGAATCATCTAACTGCTGCTTATTTTCTTCATTTATGGTAAACTAGAACATTATAGTAAGAATCCTAGGGGCGCTGTATTCCTAAAGAATCTCCCCCACTCCCCAATTTTCAGAGTTATACTTCTTTCTTTTATGTTAAGTAAGTCCATGAATCATATCAAAGAATTATCAAACGGTAAATGAAAAAATGATTTGCATCAATTAAAATATAGGAAACTTTTGTTTTCTTCTCTGAAAAGAATTTCCACTAAGAATCTTTACTTAGTAGCATAGCTTTAAAAAGAAACACTTAAGGATAAAACTGTCTTGGTATATATATATAGGCAATTATTTTCTAAATGATTGCATTANTTTTTGTACCTCTAGTATCAAGTACTAATTTAGCATTCACTGCATGTTTGCTGAACTAAGGCAGAATATTAATGAACTAAAACAAGGTGAGGGAGGTACTTGGTTACAACATCCAGAACTATGTCTGGATTGGGTCAATCTGACCAACCAAGCTCCTGTTTGGCACTTGCACTTACATATTCTCCATAGGTCTCCTGTGATGGGGGTGGTGGTGGAGGTCTGTACCCAGTTGGGGGGACTCCTCTTGCTCTGGGAGTGAGTAGTCCTCTTCCCCGACTCACTGGCCCTCGGGTGGAAAGGACTCCCCTGGGAGTTGGCGTCCCTCGTGGTACACCAACTGCAACTGGCCGGGCTGTGACTCCTCCCCTTCCCCTGCAAGCAAGAGAGTCAAATTAGCAATGTTTGTCATATTCTCTAAACATTCCATCATTTACATATATCTGTATCTCAGAAAAATCACTATTCCATAATTCTGTAAAAAGGAATAAGAAAACCACTTGCAAAGTAAGAACTAAAGCAAACGAGAAACAGGTATCTATGAAACGAAAGTCAAGTCAATTAGGCAGTTAATCTAGCAACAATAAATATGGTGATATCAAAGATGTCCAGACTCAATTTCAGGCTAGTAGGAAACAGAGTAGGAAGCTCTGATCTGGGAAGAATGCACCAACTGAAGACTTCCGTAGGATACCATGCCAGGATCACACCCAAACTTCATACCAACACTGTGAAGTGGGCTTTATCTTGTTTA